TCCGTTTCCAACAACAATGACATCATCCAGGTAAATAAGGAGGGTTTCCCATTGAAGGCCTCTAAGGACAAACTCCATTGCCCTTTGAAAAGTACTCGGAGCATTACAGAGTCCAAATGGCATTCGGGTGTATTCATAAAGGCCCCATTTTGTAATGAAGGCTGTCTTTTCACGATCGTTTTTGTCTACTGCAACCTGCCAGTAACCAGACTGGAGGTCTAGTGTAGAGAACATGGTAGCTCCCCCAACAACATCAAGGCATTCCTCAATCTGAGGTAGCGGATAAGCATCCTTGACAGTCAAACTATTTAGACTGCGGTAATCTACACACCACCTTACTCCTCCATCTTTTTTGCGTACCAGGACCACTGGAGAAGCCCATTCAGAAACTGATGGCGTGATTACCCCGGCTTCTAGCATGGATTTAAGATGTGCTTCCTCTTCACCCTGAAATCCCAGAGGGGTTCGCCTAACAGGTTGGCGTACAGGTCTAGCAGAACCAGTGTCAATCTTATGTGTAACAGCAGACATGTAACCAAGATCAGTCTCATCTTTAGCAAAGATGGACTGGTATGAGAGTAGCAGTTGAATAAACCGCTGCTGTTGTTCTTCAGTTAGAGCTTCACTTGTAGCAACAACCAGGCCTTGGAGATGCTCAGGAATGTCAGAAATTGTTGCTACTCTTCCCACTAGCAATGGTGATGCACTCTCTTCCATACAACTAGGCTCATCATTTTGCTCCAGTTTACATGTGGGTTCAGGAAAAGCTTCAACGAGGACTCCAAGGCATGCTCCTTTTGGTAAAGCTGTTCTCTTGGTTGAAAAATTGCACACTCTGACAGGCACTTTTTTTTTCATTGTGACAACGACGCTTGCAAGGGCCACATTTTCTGCAATGTCTGAGGGCTCTAGCACTGCTGTAACATCCGGCCTTGGCTCCTCCACTTCCCCCCACACAACACATTCAGATGTAGCTGGTATGATGATGGTTTCCCCAAGAGTCACTCTAGCTACACAGTAGTCTGACCCATTGTCACGTACAATTTTTGAGGGCACTAGTTCACTTCCAATAAAAACCTTCCCACAGGTATAGATGACAACATCATGGGCTTTCATCAGATCCAATCCAAGGAGAACAGAGTCTCTTATTGGAGCGACATGCACATCCCATTTGAAAGTCTTAGATCCAATTTCAAACGTTACTGTGAGTCCATGTTTGGCTTTCATGCAATCTCCAACTCCTGCATTCAGTAGGTAGGTCTGGCGAAGCTCTACAGGTGCTGTTTTGCTTTCCAGGAGACTTTGGTACAGCTCTTCCGATATCACAGTTGTTTGAGCTCCTGTGTCTGCCACTGCTTGTGTTGAAATGCCATTTATGATCAGAGGAACTTGTAAACTCTCACCTCTCTTCTTGGTGCAGCCAATCTGCCGTCCTTGTAATTGTGGATCTGTGATAGGGGCTCCATTTGACTGCAGCATGTGGTCTGTAGGCGTTTCATTATAATTACATGCCACAGGGCTGGGTGGCCTACCACGGTCCTTTCTGAAATGTCCTGTCTCTCCACACTTAAAACATGGACCGGCTGCTCCACGATTTGGGCTTGGTGTTTGTGAGCGCCCTCTGTTGTTTTGCACCTGTTGGTAACTTTGCTTTCTTTCTGGTACAAAGCTCTGGGCTGCTTTTTGCTGTTGGGCTCTTGTGTTGCCAGGCTGGAGACTTTCAACCTGCAGCTTCAGATTTCCAACCGTGTTAACAAGAGTCTTAACTTGTTCCACTAAAACAGCAAATTGGTCAGATGTAACATACTGGGGAGTCTGGACCCTGCGTGACACTGTAGCTGTGTCTTCACACTTGTCCTCTTCGTCAACCCACGAGATGCGTCTTGCTCTGTTTTTTATCTCAGTGTCGCGGCCTACGGTAGCTTTGAAATTATGCTCATGGGCCTCCACCAACTTTTGGGCCTCAACAAGGGAACTTGGATCACGATTCATAACTTCATAGGCCACCTTTTGATTTCGTAAGCCTTTGAGGAAAGCATCAGTTGCTAACTGATCCTGTAATTGGAGGTCTACTCCTGAATAGGCAAGTGTGACCAGGCGTCTCACCTCTTCTGCAAACTCAGCTGATGTTTCCAGTCCTTGTCTGAGTTCTCCAAGTTTCCTCCTTATGGTGGTTGGGGGGTCTTTTTTCCCAAAACGTTGAGCGAGTTGCTCCACCAGCAGAACATAATCTTCCCTTGTGCGTTCTGGTAATGAGCAGACGTACCGCACTGCAGCTCCTCTTAAACACTCATGTAGTCTGTCCACTCGCTCTACAGCACTCCATCCATACTTCCTGGCTTGACGTTCAAACGGCATCAAAAATGAATCCCAATCCTCATTTCCATCACACGTAGCTAGTTTAGGCCTCTGGGGTTCTGGCAATGTATGGTAATGGGCTGTAGAAATATTTTGCCTCCTATCATCATGGTAAACAGGTATGTTTTGGGCTTCACGCTCAGAGTCTCTTATCTCCCTGCGTCTAGTGTCAGGTTCAGAAGCTATAGTCCGCCTTGACGGCCCTGTGCTTCGAGATCTTTGATTTATGACCTCTAGTTCAGCTGCAAAAGACGCATTATCCCTTGGTCTAGTAGTCATATCAAAAGAGACACTTGGCTCAGGTGCATGCCTTTCTCTTGTCTGCATTGGGATTATATTCACCCCCCCATTAGCAGAAATAGGTGATGGTGTGGGTTGTTGTGCAGCTGATTGCCCTGTAATGTGTGAAAGGACAGGGGCCAGCATCATTTGAAGGTTTCTTGTTTGTTGATTTTGATTTTCCAAGACAGCTTGTAACCATTTAGGAGCTGTTTCTGCCTCCCCAGGGGCTGATGTAGCGCCTTGTAATTCTTCTGTCATTTTTTTCGTTAATTTTTTAACGCTTTTCTGTGTACTTCCGGTTACGCTCTTATTTTGAAGGACCGCACCGGAAGTTGTCCGCGGCTGCGCTTCAGCAACTTCACAACGTTTTTTTTTTTCTTTTCTTTTCTTTTCTTTCTGTAGCGTAACTTGACTTATTAGTTCAGGATGCCGTTTTCTTTTTTTTCTTTTTGGATTAACACAGAAGTTTTAAGAAGATCCCACTTCTGACACCAGTTGTCGTGCTTTACCTTCGGGTGGCGTGGATGTTCTGATGAAGCACACGACAAGGAATCTTCTTGAACTGAACTTTACTTTCTCCAGCAATAGGTGAGTAACAGACACAGCTGATGGTTTATACACTGCGTTGTTTTGGCCTCTAGCTCTGGCACAGACAGCGTTTTAGCAGTGTCCGTACAGTGAGCCTTGAGTGCCTTACAACCAGAATCATAACAACGAAAACTCTCGCGATGATAAGGTTAACTAGACGACCGTGTTGCATTTACTGACTTAACACTAGGCTCGGAGAAATCAAAACGAAACAGAATAACAGTCTTTTATAATCATAACAGCCTAATTTGCCTTACAATATGTAACATTTGTTTCCCAACTATGAGTTTTATTAATGTTTGCTGTCTATAGCCAAACGCAATAAAATAAAAACTAAATTAAAAAGTATTTAAACTTTTCTGCTCCCTACAAGCCAAACCAATACTATCTATTTTAATAAATCATAAATATGAAAGTCTAACTGAGGACTATTTTGCTAATGATTAATCCGTGTATTATTTATTTTTCAATTAATCAATTCATAATTTGTTGACAAAAGGTTTAAGATTCTTTAAAGATTTGAAACAGGATGTTAATTAAGTGAAGCGAAAACTGTGCCGTTTGAGGACCTCTAAACATATATGAGAACCAGAGCCGTAAAATGTTTACAGTCGACTTTTAAACTTTAATGAGAACCCCCATATCGTAGAACTACAGCTCATGTAAAACATGCAGCAGTATACGAAGGTCCAAAGGAAATAGTCATCATGAAAATGTGTACATAACAGCTCTATGGCAACATCACGCAAAAGTTAACTAATTCTGACTTTTTTCTCACAATTCTGATTTTATTCTCAGATTTTTTCTCTTCTTAGAATCCCGAGTTTAATCATAGAATTCAGACTATTTTTCATAGAATTCTGACTTTTTTCCCCAGAATTTTTTACTTTTCCTTCTAATTTTTAGTTTAATCTCAGAATTCAGACTTTAATCTGAGAATTCTGATTTTCATCTCAGAATTCTGAGTTTAATATCAGAATTCTGACTTTTCTCCCCATATTAAACTGAAATGAAATTTAAAAATCAGTTAACTTTTTTTTTTCTCTCCAGTGGCCCTAATCCTTTCCGTAAAAACTACATTTGTTCACTTTCAAGCACATTTTAAAGCGTCGAAAACTCCACAGCCATTAGTAGCCTTCCGTCTGTACTGCGCATGACCGCGTCACTTTTCAAGTCCATTGGTCCCTGTTTTCACTCGCATCTCTTCTCCAATAAATAACTTTAGAGAAAGGCATCGCACACGATCTGATAGCGTTTAGAAACTATTGCGTATCTACACACTAATTGTGTAAAAGAAAGGCGGTGTCTCTTTGGACATTTTAAATGACAGCGGCAGTGACGATGACAGTAGCACAAAATGAGGCTGGCAGTGAAGAGGAGGGAATGTTCTACAGCCGACGTCCATTCCACTCGCGGAAAAGAAGCTATCCAAAGAGCGAAAAAAAAAAAAAAACAGCCTCAAGACTAACATGTTTTAGTGTTATGAGAACAGTGAGACAGTACGTTATATGATGAATGGGTATGAAAATCTGATTTCAAAGCAGTTATTCGTGTCAGCGTTTTATGTGTGATTTTACCACAGTTTAGTTAAAAAACTGCCTGGTTTTTTTCCACTCTGCATCGCATTGACAGCGAAGGAGCCACAGCGAGACCAAGCGTCCATTTTCCTTATTTGCGCGCTACTCCATATGTTTTGTGGAAGAATAACCTATCCATTATAACCCCCCATGAGACCCTATGATTTACAAAGCTTAGTAAAAGCTTATTTTTACCTGTTATTGCTGTAAATTGTTGTATTAACCCGTTCACCCCCGGAGCTGAAGAGTCTCCGAGCGCCGCCATCTTACCGCCAGGAACAACAACATAAAAGTTGGCACATGCGCGTTGCGGTCTTTTTTTCCTCAACGTCTGGCACGGCGCGAATCCGCTGCTGTTGCATTATGGGTGATGTAGTCAAAATAAACAGACCTTTACTGTGGATATGCAAAGCCCCTAACGATACTGAGTGCTTACAAAGGACATAAGAACAATACACGTTTTTGAATATTAGATTTTGCATAATTAAAAACCCATAAGATTTAAATAAAAAAGGTATAACACATTTTGTAAGTAGTCAGCAAATCCTCATGGGATGCTTTCCTCTTTTTGTCAAAACAAAGACAGGAGCTTCATTTGTATCTCTAAAAATGCCTATAATTACTTTATACTTTAAAAAGATGGAGCTGTGATAAGTGCGTCATGCGTTTTCTGATGATTTCCCTACACCTATTTTTAAAAAGGAAAAGACAAGAAAATATTCAGTGCTTATTAAGAAGAAATAAAGCTTAATCAACTAATAATTAAAATCTCTAAAGCTAACTCTTAAGTTAACTGTAACAATGAATAATAACAATAATCATGCCAATGACAATGGTTTGGAAAAAACTCCCTCTTATATCCGACCCTTTACATACCAAAAAATAAACATATCAAGTTTACTTTGGTAAAATTAAACTAATATTGACAATCTGAACAACAAATACCACAGTGTAAAATTAGAAAACAAAAATATATTCTAATACTTAAAATGATTTGTTGTTGAATGGTTTCTTTTTAATGAACCGGTAGACCTTTGCCATGTTAATGCAGATTCTGAAGCTTTAAAATCACTGAAACTTAATGTAGTTCAATTCAAAGATACTCAATACCAAAGAATTGGATGTGTTGTATATTGATCTTTTAGCAGGTTTATAGATTAAAAGAAAACAGATTGTTAATCAAAGATAAAATAGAGTTATTCCATGATCATCCCAGTCCCCATACCTTGATATCATACACGAAATGAGCAAAAATGTTTTTGTTTTTTTATGACATGGTGCTGTATGCTGTAAGAACACAACAATTGCAAGCTAGCCATTCTAGGCAGGGGCCAGAAGGGGCCAGTGCCTCTTAGTAGAGCTGAGCCTGGTCCCTCTTATGGCATCTGTAATAAGGACATAATATAAAATGAATTTATGATAAATGAGTTAGGATACGAGAAAAGCACTCTGAGATCGCAGACCTCACCAAGCAGAAAACTTCGCCCTATATTGTGATTTACACTTAGAACTAAAACTGGCACATGATCTAGATCATTACCAAATTTTAATGAATTATTCCTTGGGATGAGGTAAAAAAAAAAAAAAAAAAAAAGTCCTTAAAATCTGTTCATATGTTTTAAATTGATCCTTTTCTCCCTTTTCTTGTGTTTTTGTCTTCAGTAAAATACCTCCAGATGTTTTGAATCTGATGCTGAAGCTGTCAATAGTCGGTTCTGCCACCCTCAGGTTTATTTGGAAACAGCCATGCCAACAATTCCCTCTAAACGACCCCCTTTCAGATAGACGGGTATCGATCTTGCAGGCTAACAAAGAACCCAAACAACCCTCATTCCGAAGGAGCAACCAGTTCTTCCGGTTCACTTTGCTTGTTTTCTAAGCCAAAACAAAGATTTGGCTCTAAAAATCCTCGAACTGAACACTATTTCTGACATTTTGAAATGAAAAAGCTTCCTGGATGGGAAGCGAAATGTCTTCAAACTTGGAAACAAAACTCCAGTGGATTGTTTTACTTTTTTCCCTTCAATCAATTATTTTTTCTATTTTTACAGTCTTATGATTAAATAATTAAGTTTTTGCACTTTCAGCTTCAGTCATATTGCTATAAGATCAGTATTTAACTTCTAGACCTGAAGTTTCCAGAACTGCTCTTTGGTTTACTTCATATATGTAGAAATAAACTTTTTGTTTTTCATTTCATTCCTTGACTTCATAGACCTCTTGGCATATTTGGTCTAGAAGAAAAAGTATTTAAATCTGAGATGGATACATAGAGAATTCTAGGGCCCGTAATTTGAACACTAGAAAAGACTCAAAAGATTGAGCAAAAATGACAATGTTCACCTATATTAACTGGAAACCAAAGTGGCTTTAACCAAGCTTGTTTAAAACTATTGATTACTCAATCATTAAATAAATAGTTTGTTTTAATGATCACATATAGTCACACAATTTCAACTCAAGTTTTAAAAATGTAGTCTGTGGTCAAGACAAGAACACATTTTCTGCTTAAGTAGTGTCACTTTATTCTTGTTTGCATATTACATTCATTTTGCAAAGAGCATCAACCAGGTCCCAGACCTCAGGACGCAGATCTGACAAGAAGGATCTGAAAGCAGATTGCTTTAATGCTCCTACATGACCAGAGAGGTTTTGTTCTGTTACTTTTCTGAATCTCACAGCAATCTGTTGTGCTGCCTGGCACAAACGACACAGTAAAACATCACTTTACAAAAGGAAGGGTGATGATGGCACATGACACCCATATCATGAGATGTCCCATATTTACAAATACACACTGTGGCCCTTTCAATTCAGCTCGCAATTTCATCAACTAAATAGAAACTTACATTCGTATTAGCTGTGGGTACTGTTCTTTATTTAATGGGTCTATAGTTATTACACAGCCTCATAGTTGGTCCTGACACAATTTTTAATAAGTTGCTACCTTTTAAATACATCAATTTTTCCATCCAAGCAAGCTATAGTTTTATCTCGCCATTTTTGACAAAATTTTTTTCTTAAAAATCTTTTGAAAATGTACGTATTTATCGATTAAAGGCTGTAAAGAGGTTTGATAATAGAACAAAAGTGCACAAATTGAAGCACTTTTTCTGATGAGTTATTCTGTGATCTTCTATCCCTGAGGTGCGGCATCTTTTTGTGTTAAAGAAATCACCAGTCAGTTGGACCAGGGAGTTATTCATCAGCGCTCGAGACTAATACAAAAACTTACCGGATAATTTTGTATAGATTAGGATGATTTTGATGCCATTTAATCTAAACAATCTTTAAAAGAAATTTACAGTTTCTATCAATGAATTTAAGCCATACCACAGGTCAAGAGCAGAATATTCATATCCAAATGTAGTTGAATGTCTTTGTGCCAACACTGAGTTTATATTGCATTCGTAAACACTTTGTGAGATCAGTCCTGCCATTAGAATATAGTTAATTCAGATAAAATCTACATTTTATTGTGTTTAAACAGAGAAAAAAACAAGCTGCTAAAACTAAATGAGACCAAATGCTTTATGATTTAGGGCTCACTTAAGAAAATAGTGCGACGGTATAAATATCTGTATGGACAGTTTCCTACATTCTCACAGGCTTTACTATACTGCAGAGGTCTTAATAGTTCACCAGCTAGAAAATCTATGCAATTATGTATGTGAAGGAATGGACAAGGCTGCCAGACGCATAGAGGTGTCCCTTTGTGTTGATGTCAGTTTATTTAATACGACAAACAAGTTAATGATGTTATTGCTAAAATAAAACTGCATGTGACACTTTTCTGGACTAATTTTAATTTTCAGATGTTTTAAGGCTTCAGTTTCTGCGTTTTCCTACATTTCTAAATGTGGATTTTATTTTTTTTGCCTGAAGCATTTAAAAAAAAAAAAAAACCCAACAACAATTAGGTCAATTTTAACTTGGATTTGTTTCTTCTACAATCTCCCTTTGAGTGTTTGATCTTTACCTGGTCTTCAGGTTCACTTATAGAAAAAACATAATACAAAACAAAATCTCAAAAGCAGTGGGATTTCCCCCCCCTTTTTACTAATATGGAAACAGTGCAACATGATGTGTTTGGTAAGACTGAGTCCTGTTTTTCCTGATGGCCATAGAACGTCAGAGGTGCCCACTGTATGCCACATGCGAATAAAACAAAAAGGAAAAACAACAAAGTGCAGAGGAAATATGAGGAAATGAGTGTAGGGAAGTTCTTCCGTATTCACAGTTCCACCTTAATAAATAAAATCTTTCACACAATATCTTTGATCGAGGTTTGTATGAGTGCATACATGCAAACCTGTATGTTGAGTGAGTTCTGTGCTGGAATGTGTATCTTTTTGTGAGTGAAACTATGATGTAGTGAGGACAATATGCTAAAAGAGGTGTTTTAGTGGGCAGGGCAGGCAGGGAGGTGAGGTGACACACATGTTTGGTGGTGGGGGGGTGTTACACTGCAGCTTAGAAGCGAATAAACGTAGCATCGATCTGACGCACACTGGGCAGTGCCAGCATGATCTTTCTTCTGTACTGAGGATCTTTTTGTAGAGGATTCCGCTCCAGGTACACCGTTTCAAGGGACTTGGCATTCTTCAGCTCGTCAAGGTCTGACCAGTTCTCTATCTGATTATCATTCATCTGAGGAGACATGCAAAGACAACACTGCCATAAGTTGGACTTTTAATGGAAAGAAAAAATAAAATGGAATAGGCAAGAGTGAATATTGGAAAAATTTAGAGTTCTCAACATAATAGTAATGATTATTAATATAACAACGTGCAGCATTTTCCAAATACAAAGGTATTGACCACATTTATATGTTATTAATGTCCTCTTTTTGCTTTGGCAAAATTATTCAGGTGCAGCTTCACGGGACCAGGAGAATAACCAAAATATCCTAGTACAGCCATGGTATCAGAGAGTAAGAAGGGATTTCAGAGGATGTGTGACCTCTGCAGCAATATAGTCTGGGTGAAAGCAGAGATCTTTCAGTGTCTGTCTAATCTGATAAATGCTTTGATCAGCAGAACCTGTTGTCAGATTCTGCTGATCAACATTAATGTCATGAGCTTTTAGGGTTATTGAGGTCTAAGCTAACTTAAGATTATGATATATTTACAGTCATGTTTGATAAATTACTTTCGTTCTGATGATGGTGAATCCTAAAAATAAAAGTTGCTTAAAAAAAAAAAACTTTAAAAGGAAGATACTCATGTTATAGTAAATGTAGTAAATAACAAAGAGATATACATAGATAAAAGAAAGACCAAAAGCTGTTTGATTACGATAAACAAAAAGGTAATATACACGAGGCT